TATAATATGTCCTAGCCACTAATCGAAATTCTGAATCTACCAATCACCAGATGTAATTTACACATGTGAATGACAATTGAAAACTTGTTTAGCCAATTTAGTATTTTTTTTTTATGATACCAATGTGCATGGTTGAATTTTTAAAAATTATTATTTTGAATAATGTATATTTTGTGAAAATTTTGACGGCTGAATACAATTAATTACTGTTCAACTAACAAGATGTACCAAATATGATTAATACGTGAAAGTTAAGATATCTCAATTGATAAAGGTGAAATTTAGAGAAAAAAAAAAATGAAAAATATTTACTTTGATTATTCAAAAAAGTATCAAACGATACGAGATAGAGAATCAAAATCCCAGCTACAGAAAACGCAGTTAGAAGATCTTTTGTATGTGATTAGATGTTTGCATCATGACAAAGATGCCATAGTCATCATATGTATCTATCAAAGTGGGGATTTAGCAGAGAATATAAATTAAACTAGCAAATTTATGGGCTTATATATTATAATAATTGCTATATGCTTTCTTATGGGAAAAATAAATATTGGGTGCATGTGGTGGTATTAATTTCTCAACTCAGTTCGACTCGTTCATCACGTTTGAGTTCGCTTCGTTTTGTTTGATAAACGAGTTAAACTTGAACTTAATAAAAGATTTTGAAACGTTAGGCTCGAGTCAAACTCAACTTAATGAAAATTACATGAAATTTTCTGTTATTATTCAATTCTATTAAAGTTCGATATCGACTCGTTTAGGCTCGATTTGCCTCAACTCAACAAAAATTTCAGTCGAAGCTTGAGAATCAAAATCTCGGAGTTTACACTCTTCGTTGGATGAATCAAAAGTTCGGTCATATTATACATTGTTGGACGAATGCGTAATTTTATTACAAATCTTAGTTTCTAAAAGATTCCAATTAAAAAGGTCGGTCACATTATATATTGTAGGAATAAGATTGTGCATAATTTTATTATAAATCTTAATTTTAAAAGATTCCAATACTAAAATGTTATTTTCCGTATAAAATTTATTGGTAGCAAGTAATGAAGTAAAGTAAATCAATGGGGGTGAAGTGGCGAATGCTCATTCGCTCTTGAATAGTAAAATACGTAACAGACCGGATCCCGGTTCAACACTACAACCGACCGGTCCTCAACCCGATTATTCAATCTTTTCAGTTCTCCCCCCATGGCAAAAACTCACAATTTGAGTTCGCGGATCGCATTTGAGTAAGCAAATTAGGGTTTGATTGCCCCAATTTCGGCTTTGAAGCTTTACTCCAGCTGAAGGTCTTTTGTTTAAGCGGGGTCCAATGTCTGATCAAATGGAGTCTGAAATCAAAGCTCTGTTGAGTGATCTTCACAGTCTCAAGGATTCTTTGCTTGATTCCTCTCAGCAGGAGACGATTGATAGGGTAACGTTGATTTTGCTGCTAATTTTTATTTTTTGTACCATTAATTATATATGTGGTTCTTGAGGTTGCTTTTGTGGTTATATCTGAAACAATTTTTGGTAAAATCTTCTGTTTATTACTAGGAGTGTTGGATTGTGAGAGACTGGAATTGTTTAATGTGTGGGAGTATTTTTGTACAATTATTGTGTTGTTTTGTAGCGTTGAATTTATATATTGGTTGGTGAAAGATAACTGTTGAAGATAGTAATATAGGACCTGATTTGTTGAGCTGCTTCATGAGATGGGTTAGACTGTGTGAAGATTGCTTGAATTTGCTGAATATGAGAAGCGCAGGAAATGGGTTGTGCATTTGATTGCACAGAATACACGAGAAGAAGAAAAAACCCTTGAACAACAACAACAACAACATACCCAGCATATTCCCAACAGGTTGGGGTCTGGGGGGTCAGTTGTACGCAGACCTTACCCTTGTAATTATACAAGGAGGCTGTTTCCGTAGCGACCCAAGGTGCATTGCGCCGTTTGATATATATATATATATATTTTTTTTCTAGAAACTTCACTAATAGAAGAAGCACTAGAATTTAATTGAGCCATTTTGATCTAGTCCATTATTAGCACTATGCCAGGAGAATTGTCAACAATGACTCTTCCAGCTCCATTTGCAATGGACAAAAGAAAAAAAAAATGTTGCAGAGTTAAAAACTTTGCTGTTATTTTTGAAATTCCCTTCAATTTGTGTAGATTGAATAGGATTATGTTTTCATTGTTAGTAGTTCTCGGAGAAATTCTCTTGAAAGGATTAGATATTTGGATATATCGATATATTACAAACTCAGGGATTTGCCTTACAACTACAAGGTACCAAGGTCGAGCAATTTACTCCTCTTAAGTTTGGCATCAAGTAATAACCACATTCTCTTTATATCTCCCCTTTTCATGTTTCTTATTCTTTATATGGTTGAGGTTTATTGGAAGAAGTTAGACGTGAATTGCATTTTGAGCCTTCTTAAAACTTTCATTATTTGCATAACAACTTGATGCTGTAAGTATCAATACACACAAGCACATACGATTTTCAACTAATAATGGCATACTATGATGGATGTCTTTTCTGGGGACCTGCATTATATGCTTTCATCAGGACCTGAATATCTATCTGCCTTCGGCTTGTAGATGCGATCTCGTCTTGAGCATCTTTCTACGATGGAAAGGTTGACAAATGTACGGCGTTCCAAAATTAAGGTGATTATTCATAATTTTAATTATTTTGTACCATAATCATCATCATCATTATCATCATAATCATCATTACTACGAGTTTACAACTACAATTATATTGCTTGTTCTGTTATTGCTTCCTGCATAATCTAAGACAAAGGCATTGGATTTTGATATACTGCAATGCAGGATATGAGTGCTGAGGTGGTTGATAGCAACCCTTACAGTAGACTTATGGCACTTCAAAGGATGGGAATTGTGAACAACTATGAAAGAATTCGGGAATTTTCAGTTGCCATAGTGGTCTGTATATTATTCTCTATGAGCAGCTCTTCTTTTAAGTTATTGCTCCTGTGATAAGACAATTGGACATGCTTAATGATTAGACAATTTTTCTGAAAGTGCTGTTCTAGTCAATCAGTTGTTTAGTATGTGCAATTGTGCTCATGTATTAAAGTTCTGTTTGCAGGGTATAGGTGGTGTCGGTAGTGTTGCTGCTGAGATGCTCACGAGGTGTGGCATAGGCCGACTTCTGCTGTATGACTATGATAAAGTGGAGTTAGCTAACATGAATAGGCTTTTTTTCCGCCCAGAGCAGGTTGGTTAGGCCCTGATTGAATACAGATTATCTTGTCACTTTTGACCATATTGTTTTTATAACTCAAAATCTAATTCAAATTTAGCTCAATCCAATTCTCCTCAATATTATCTGTATAATTAAATAATACTAATAGATCATCCTCACACATCGTATTCATCTACTCACATAATTTTAACTAATCATCACTTCCAATCACCTCTCTCCTACTTTTGAATCAATTCAACTTTAATCATTATATTTTTAAATATAATTTAATACAAACTCAAAATCCCACTCAAACCTAACCCAATCAACTTTTTCAAAATGAACTCTGGTTATCCAACAAATCCAATCAAGTCCAATAAACTTATACCTAATCACCCCCTTAGTGTTCACTATTGAAATGCATGTCGTACTTTCAAAATATGATGCCATCTTGAACTTAAGCTTGTCTAGTGTTACTATTTAATCTTATGAGATTCGCATGCCCTTTGAAGGCTGGCATGACTAAGACGGATGCTGCTGTCCAAACTCTCTCAGACATAAACCCTGATGTTGTTCTAGAGGTAAACCAGTATCAATCATAATTTTTTGCTTTTTTAGCCTTTTCTTGGGGTCCATTATTGTATGAATTAAGTAATGGTGTTATCCTTGTATTCAGTTGTGTTGATTATTTGATTTTGTTTCTCAGAGCTTTACATTGAATATCACAACAGTGCAAGGTTTTGAAACCTTCATGTCAAGTCTGAAAAATAAATCATTTCGTCCAGATAAAGAAGGTCTTGGAGTTGATCTTGTTTTGAGCTGTGTAGATAATTATGAAGCAAGGATGGTGGTAAATCAGGTTAGATCAAACATCTTATTGTCAAAAAACCTTTATATTTTGTTATCCATATATAGATCAGAATGATATTGGAAACGTTAAATGTACTATTTTCGTCTGCCATAATCTGATAATTGATTTTACGTGCAGGCCTGCAATGAGTTGAGTCAAACATGGATGGAGTCTGGTACTAATACTCTATTGTTCATGCCATTACTTTTTAGCAAAGAGATGGTTTTAATTGCCTTTGTGTAACAATTTCCTTGTCCAAAACCAAAACTTCACATTATCGGGAATAATAATGAGATGATTGTCATTTTTTTTTCAGGCGTATCTGAGAATGCAGTTTCTGGTCATATACAATTGCTGGTTCCAGGTGAAACTGCATGTTTTGCATGTGCACCTCCCTTGGTATGTTTTTACTATTTTAGAAACTGTCGCATTCAAATTTGAGTTTTGTAATCTTACGCGAATATGTAAGATAACATTTTCAGATTTTGTGGCCAATATTTTTTATTTTATTTTTATTTTTGTCTACAGCTTGTAGTTTGTACTAGTATTGCATGCTTATGACTTGATTATCGGGATTATCTATTTTAGGTTGTAGCATCAGGAATCGATGAACGTACACTGAAGCGCGAAGGGGTTTGTGCAGCATCGTTGCCAACCACAATGGTATTCATTTATCTTGTCAAACCACATTTTTACTTTCTTTATCGGCTAACCTTCCTTCTATTTTTATTCATATCAAATTCGACCTTCAGGGAGTTGTTGCCGGGCTTCTTGTTCAAAATACTCTTAAATACTTGCTGAAGTTTGGAAGCGTTACACCTTATTTGGCAAGTCTTGAAGATAGCTCTTCTCCCTCCTCTCTCTCTCTCACACACACTCCTACACACACTTAAAAGTAAAACGCATTATTTTATGTTCTTGTTGGTTCTTATAGAGTGTGAAAGTGCTTTCTTTGTTTAGGGTTACAATGCTCTCAAAGACTTCTTTCCAACAATGGAAATGAAGCCAAACCCACAATGTTCTAATGCAGCCTGTTTGGAGAGACAGGTGAACTAGCTGGATAGATCTTTTGAGTAAATTTTAAATATGTATTTTTTGTTTTTCACCATCTTTTTTTTTTTTTTTAAATAAAAAAATGTTTCCCCTTGTGCAGAAAGACTACATTCTTGCAAAACCAGCCAGAGATGCTGCTGCCAAAGCCAAAATGGTGGCTGAAGAAATAATAGAACCTGGGGCCCTCCATGCAGATAATGAATGGAATATAAGGTGAGAGCAAACTCGACTTTTTCTTGAACTTAATGCGGGAACATGAAGCCTAAAAAATATCGATCCATTATTTGAGGTTCTTTGTTTATATTTGATGGGCTATTAATCTTTTACATATACATCCATAGCTATTAGCTATTAAAGATTTTTGTAGGTCACCCTTTTCTGGTCTGTATGGAGTTTAAATGACTTGGTCCTTAATATCTTTTTCTTTATTGTGATTCAGTGTTGTCGATGATAGTGATGTACAAGACTCAAATGGCAGCTCAGGTTATTATCTTTTCCTTTACACCGTATACATATATCTTCGTATTTAATTTTTATGACCTTCATTGCACATCGTAAAAATCTTGTCATGGGAGATTGAATTAATTGATCAAATCAAACCATACTCTGAGAAACAAAATGATCAATTGATTTGATATATATATATTTTTTTCTTTACCCTCATTTAAAGTTTAAATTAGGTGCTCTGCCGGAAGGCCTTGTTCACGAGCTTCCAAGTGCAGATGAGTTTCAAAAGCCACATGTTTCGGAGGGAACCACCTCAAATGCCGATGACCTTGAAGAACTGAGACGGCAGCTTGAAGCCCTCAATGCCGACTAGTTTTTTTTATTTTTTTTATTAAATTTTCACTGTTAGAACTTAAAGCCCACGTTTTGTTGTCTGAGCACATCCATGGACCATTATAGAGAATCCCTTCTGGGGGATTGAATATGCATTGTATTTTATGTACTTTGTGAATCGTGATAGAATTTAATTTCAAGAACTATAATATATTACAGCCTTTTAACCTCTTGAACCTGTATTTGCTCTCTCTCTCTCTCTTTTTTTTTNCTGTACATGAAACTAGAACTCAGCAAAGTAGAGGCTACACACACTGTCAAAACTTTCCTAACTCAACCATTTTTTTTTTGTTCTCGTTTTTACTTTTTAACCCTGTACAAGATGAAAGAGTTCAATGTTCATGGTAGATACTGTTGCAGACATTGTTTCAAGCTTTGAAAAGTTATCGGCTTCGACACGAACGAGTCCATCCCATTTGCGTAACATTCGTCTGCACTTTCCGACATTGCATTTGCTGTCATCTGCAGAATAAACCAATCCAACAAATTTAGGGTTGAGCCAAATAATTTAATGACAAAACACACACACACACACACACTTGAGATGAAATTCCTACGGCTATAATCGGAGTTCGCTTTCTTGCTTTTTCTACTCCCGAATCAGAGAACGAATTACGAGAAGGCAAATGAATTTCGACCCCGGCCTTCAATGCCTCGTCCCAAGTACCGGTTTCTTCATACGATCTGATAAGTCTCGTAGCTTGAAGACCATCCATCACCGGCATGCACACGTCCTGCAAAACATCGTTCGTTACCGTTTATTTATTTTTAGTTTCTTGTGGCACAATAATGGACAAATTAAGCTAAATTCTTGTTCATTTCTTCAAAAGTTCGAAAGCATGCTTGCGACTAGGCCTGTAAACGAGGCGAGTAAACGAGGCAGAAATCAAGCTCGAGCTCGGCTCGTTTATCACTATTAACGAGCCGAGTTCGAGCCTTAACGACCCAATCTTGAGCTTTAACGAGCTGAACTATATAAAATTATATAAAAATTCTCTTTTCAAGCCATATCAAGCCGAGGCCGAGCTCGGCTCGTTAAGGTCTCGAGCTCAAGCCTTAACGAGCCGAGCCAAGCCAGACTCGTTTAATTTAACAACACTACTTGCAACTTGTACCATTAGAACGAGATGATAGTCGTTAGATTGAACCGCGCGCACGGCCTCCGCCCCATCATTCACTACATCAATCTCGTGGCCCAATTGCTTCATCATCGATTTCGCCACCATAACGTTAATCTTGTTATCCTCCACGAGAAGAATCTTCGGCCTCGATCCAACTCTCGAGATCTCGCGACTATTGCTCGATGACGAGCACTCGGAACTCCCTTCATCACGACCCCTCTTCTCCCCACACCCCGTAACAACATAGGGGCAAAATCGTCCATTCCTTTCCGGACTATTATCAAATATTTTCTCGGTTTTTTCCGCAGGGCTTTCCGAAGTAGTTTCCACCTCGCACGACCCAACTTCTTCATGCGACGACGTGACGAAATCTTTAGGGGACAACGAGTCCTCCAATAATAAGGTGCCAAGCTTCTGGATCCTTCTGGAAGCTTGGGAGGAGGAAAGCAATGTGCCGAGGGTTCGTGGAGGGAAAAGGAAAACTCCCGAGCGAAGGTCCTCGTCGATGATGTCATGGTGATCGGAATCCGACAACTCATCCAGGTCATCCGAGTTGGTTTCAAAGCCAGAGGAGATTCTGTAAGGGAGAACAAACGTGAATTTCGAGCCCTCATTTTCCACGCTGGACACGGTGAGGTGGCCTCCCATTAGCTCGACCTGTTTCAATAATCGCTCAAATCGTAAAATGTACAATTTCTTTTAAAAAGATCGAATTTTGTTTATGCAAAAAGATCAAATATTGGTTGAATAAAAAGAAAAATGTCTCGGACGAGAAAATTTTCACCAGTTGTTTACAGATTGCAAGGCCGAGTCCCGTCCCACCATATTTTCGAGCAGTGTCTGCACCAACTTGCATGTACTTCTTGAATAAAGTTGGTATTGCATTTTCTGTTACAAGAAAGTTCAGTCAGAGAGAAATAATTAATCTTGTGTTAGCTTTCGATTTTTTGGTTACAAAAGTTAGTTTTTTCAGTTATATATATATACCGGGTATTCCAATGCCCGTGTCGTAAACATCACAACATATCCACACGACTGGCTCCTCGATTTCCGTGTCCTTCACTTCATTCTCAGTAGCTTCATAAGTCCCGTTTTCGTGCTCGTGTCTCGTTTTTGACGGTTCCTGGACCACATAGAGGTTTATTCCGACCTTACCTTCATGCGTAAACTTGATGGCATTGCTGTATTAAATATAAACGGTTAAAAATTATTACGAAAAACGATACTTGAAAGGGGTAAATTTGTAACTATAATCACCTGACCAAGTTCGTGAGGATCTGTCGAATGCGTAAAACATCTCCAACAACCTGAAATTGAAGAGATAATTGTCATAAAACCGAAAAATATACAAAATTAACGATTTTTTTTTTCGGTTTTTTTTGTACCTCAACCGGAACATCGTCTGCTACGTGACCTTCTAAAGTTAATAGTTTCTGTAATGAAGCTGCTGCTGTCTGAAGAACATGCTTTACCACTTCTCTTGGTCTAAATTTAGTAGCTTCCAATTTCATAACTCCTAATTAATAAAATGTTAAATCAAATCCACTTCAAATATTAGCAAAATGAGCTTATTAATTTGAAGTTGAACTTTCAAAAAATAAAAAAAATAAAAAAAAAAAAAAACAAAAT